AAGAAGGGTCTAAGTCAGTGCACCTATACCTGGGCCTCCACGGGTCAAACCTGCATTTTCCAGGCAAAGAAACCGAGCCATATGAAAGTCAGTGACTTGCCTATGATGTCACAGTTAACAAGAACTGGAGCTGGGATTTGAACTCGAGTCTCAGAGTCTAAAGTCTCAATTCCCAACCTTACACTGCCCACACTGGGCCAAGTCACGTGGGCTGACTTGACTGACCACAGGAACTATTGTTACAAAAGGGCCAAACTTTTTGGAAAGTTAGTCTGAACCATCTTGAACTTCAGTTTCCTCTCCTACCAAAAACCTACCTCCCAAGCAATTTTAAAAAGCAAAACTGAAATGGTCACAGTCAAGTCAATTACTTCTCATGGTGACTCCATGTGTGCCAGAGTAGAACTCAGCTCCATTTCTATTAAGTTTTCAGCGGGCTGCTATTTTGGGAAGGGATTTCCAGGCCATTCTTTTAAGACACCTTGGGGTGGACCTGAACCTCCAACCTTTCAGTTAGCAGTCAAACATGCTAACCGTTTGTACCTCCAGGGACTCCCATAGGCAGTTAAACGAGACCATATACATCTAATGCCTGTTACAGAGCAGTATAATTCAGCATATGTGACTTGCCTGTTTGTGTCCCTGTGGAAGGAACAGGCCTTCTTGGTAGTATCAGATGGAGCTTTGGGTCCCAGACTAGCAGTTGGCAATGGACATAAACCTGTGGGCACAGAGACCCCAGGCTGAGGAATCTTGGGGAGATAAGAGTATCTGACTCTGAGGACCCCTGCTTCCACTCACGTCATCAGGAGAATCAGCAAAGCTGAAGGCCTGGAAGTAGAGCTGTAGTCTCTCTGGGACCTCTTGGGGCAGGAAGCGGGAATGGGAATCCTTGTCATCTACCAAGCACCTGGAGGGCCTAGGCTAGAGGTCAGGGGGACCCAGAGAGAAACCGTGAATTAGGGTCTGGCCTCAAACCATCACACATTCATTTGTTGAGAATTATGCAAGCCCTGAGCTAAGTATCTCCCCCATTCAATCTACACAACAATCTGGCACTCCCAATTTTACAGAGGTAGCAGAGGTAAAGCCACCAGTAAAGGACTTTTGCCGCCCCCTCCCCCCCCCAGGCCCTTAGAGAGAACTACCCAAGAACTCCCAGAGGATACTATCTAGACATCTCTCTTGTAGCACTGGGCAGGCTCTTAGTCCTTGCCTCAGGCTCCCAGAGATGCCATCCACTAGACAGTCCACACCCTAACCTGCCTCCGTCCACCAGGCCCAGTACCCATGATGCCCGATGAAGCTGTAGGACACAGAGACCGCTTCCAGATCTGCCTGGGGCTGTCCACACAGTCATCCACATACAGCTGTAAGGACTGATGGGAGTTGCCAACAACAGCAAATTCCATGTGGAGCTCAGAACCTAGGAAAATCAAGCTGGTGTTAGCCCCATCCTGGACTGAAACCAGATGGGGAGCACATGAGCCAGAGACATTGAGGGTGTTACCCCAGGCCACACAACAAGAGGTAAGCAGGCAAAGAGGGGAGAAAACCATTTGAAGTCCAGGCCCTGCACCACACCCCACACCACCACCACGCTGCCCTTCAGCTCTTCCTGCTGTCACCAACAGTCTCCTCGCTTAGAACTGAAGGCACAGGAGTCCCTGAGCTGGGGACCCTTCCCCTTGGGCACTGTCTCAACCCAACTGATGTCCCTACCTGTGGGAAGGGATGAACAAGGCCAAAGTCTCACGCTGAAGTCCAGATGTCCAAGCCTAGCCAGGGATCCAGTAACCAAGGAGACAGGGTGCGAGGTGGGGGCTTCCAGGCTGGCAGGGAAGCAAGAAGGGTTCATGGGAGTATGGTGTGTCAGGGTACCCAGAAAACAAACACTGAGGTTTTGTGAAAAGTTCCCAGGACAGTCCAGCAAGAGAAGACAGAAAAGAAGCATCCAGGAGAATCCAGAAGTCCAAGTACAGACTCCCAGGCCTGCCCAGCCAGACTCACACCAAGGGGGACCATGACCACTGGAGGGATAGCTCTCCAGTCCCATCCTCCCTCCTACAGGATCCCTGAGGGGTGTAGGACCCAAGATAGACTATAGAGCACTAGACAACACTCACCGAGTGGTTATGCAGTTGACTCGATGGTGGAAGGCAGGAATAGGGGGCTGCTTGGAGTGATTAGATGGGGGCATGTAGACCAAATCGGCAAAGAAGTCCACCATCTGCCCTGAGATCTGAGAGATACCAGCACCTTAAGAAGCCAGAATGAGGATCTCCCTAGCTTGGTCTCCCCTCAGTGGGTGACTTTGAAGACATTCTCCCCTGCTAGGATGTGCTCAAAGTCCCTTCCCACTCTAAAGCTTTGGAGAGTGATGTGCTGAATTGCATCTGGTGGCAGACAGTGGGGCCTTTCCCTTTGTGAGCCTCCATTTCCAGCTGGGGCTTGTGAAAACACAAACAAGGGCATGTGGTAAACATGCAGGTGACAAATGATAAGCTAGTACCATGCCCCTGGCCACCAAATTCTGTGCCATTAGGCCTCAGTTCCTTTTAGAAAAAGAAACGGAAAATAGAATGTGTATGACTGACTGAATAGGAAACTGAGCTAAACTAAACTTCCACGCAAAGCATAATAAAAAGTTGTTTTAAAAAAGATAAACTGAGGCTAAGGGAGGCTATGGCTTGACCAAGGTCAGGCATCAAGTCAGTATGGTCTGATTCTATCCCTTTCTCCAGCCCAGACACCCAGATCTGCACGTTTTCCCAAGATATCCCAGGTATCCCTAGGCTTCTGGCAGTCTTGTGCCTAGGAGCCCCAATCACCCCCTCACCAGCTGGATGAAGCCACAAGCCTTGAATGGGGCAGCAAAGACCACATAGACAGGCATAATGGGGCCCATGGAGGGCAGGCAGAAGCCCAGACACAGGTGGTGGGCATCAAGCTGGGGTTCCCTCCTCACAGCCAGGAGGACCTCTGTTGGTTTACATTCCTGCAGGAAGTCGCCCCCTGGTGGCCAGGCCCAGGCTGGTGCATAGAGAACAGCCTAGGTAAGGGTGTGGCCAGCAGAGCCTGCCCAGAATCCTTCCCCACCCATGCATCTCCCCACTCAATCCATTGCACCTGCTCAGTGGAGCAGGGGCCTGGGCAGGTGTGTCTGAGATCTGCAGACTTTCTTCCCCCTAGCATGGCTTGTGGGGTCTGAGAGCCCCTCTTGTGAACACCTGCTATGTGCCAGGACCTGGGTCTGGCACATAGATAAAGGTTGGTGTCTGGACAACTGCACATGTGTGTCCATTGTTCGTTTCAAGGCAGAACCACCAGCAAGGCAACCAAGGGCCACAGGGGGGTCACAGAGAGCTCAGTGAAGGAGCAATGATACTCAATGCTGGCCAATAAGAAAAGGATTTCCAGTCGAGTGGGAGGCTGGGAGGTACAAAAAGGCAGGTGATGGTGTGGGGACAAGGCTGGGACAGACTGACAGATTAGATGGGCAGCAGAGACCCAAAGCCTTGTCAGTCCCAGTGTTAGGGAGAGCCTTGCAGGGAAGGTTGAAATGAGCAAGGAATTCATGGCAGATGTCACTGGGGTGCAGGTGTGTGTCACAGGAGGTGGGAAGGAAGGGATGGGAGCTAGGTGGGTATCAGCTAGGCAGAGATCTGGGAGTTGGGGTGAGGGCTAACAGTGAGGGGAAATAAGCATTTGACTTTAAGACTCTAAGGGGATAAGAAGGAGCAGTAGACTGGGCAGAGAAGGTCATGGGCCTGGGAAGCTGATCCAGTCAGTGTGTGGCAAGGGTAGCAGGAAAAGGCCCATCCTGCCCTGCAGGGCTCCCCCACCAGCCTCTGATGGGTAATCAGACTCACCCTGCAGCTGCAGACACCCCCAGAGCAGGAGCCACAATCCTAATGCCCCCATCTTGACTTACCAGGAGCCTGCCTGGTCTGTGACCCCTATAAGTCTGGATCACGTGTGGGCTGTCCCACCTGGTTGGGGTTAATCCAGGGGCTGCACCTGAGCAGCAAAGTCTAGGGCCAGAGTCCTGGTATGGGTTGATTTGTGGGGCTCAGTGAGAGAGGCCTGGGCTACTTCTGCCCTGAGCTCCACACCAGTCCTCATACCTCAGCTGGACTAAACTCCCTCCCTCCCCACCTCTCTGAGTTACTGACAAAATAGGCTGACCCAGAATCAAGAAGTAATGCCCCCTTTACCACAATCCTGTCTCCAGCCCAGCAGCTCAGGGCAAACCACAGGAAGATAGGTACATAGAGTGGGGCCGGACTCCCAAATCCCCTCACTGGGGTCTCATGAGTTGCTCCAAAGGGGGGATGTCTTTATCAGCCCTGGGTACCTTCAGGCCCAGGTGGTATCTGATCAACAGGTTCCCCTCCCAGAGCCTCGTTGCTTTCTGAGGTTTGGGGGCCCCCACCCTGCACCCTCCAATACACCCTACCCTACCCCTTCATCCCCAACAGAAAAACAGAATAAAACTCAATTTCTTGAGAATTTATTGGACTCCTGGATATGCCTGATCCCAGCCCCTCCTACCATCCAGCCAGGTCCCCATAACCCCTGTACAAGGGATGAGCAGGTCATAGGATCCGGCCTCAGAGGTCCCCACTACTACATTCCCCCATTTCTTCATGTGCTATGGGGTGCCTCAGTCAAGCAGCTTCAAGGCCTGGATCCAGGCTTCCTGAGTGAACTTGGACATATCCTTGCCTTCTCTGGGCCTCAGTCTCCTCCCTCATCAATTGGGAGGGTGTACATTCCTGTCAAAGACAAAGTTGGGCCCACCTAGGGTCCACTCCACTTAGGATCATGGGTTCCAGGGAAGTAGACAGGGTCCAGCTGCAGCTGTGGTTCCTCCAGGCCTGTCTCAAACCAACTTAGGTGCAGGACCCAAGACCCCAAAGAGCCAGGTACCCGCATCTCTGGGTAGGAAGAAGTTGGCATGGAGAGGGCCAACCCACAGGCCAGGTAATGGGGTGGGGTCAGGAGGAGCTGGGCTTCTCCACTGATGGGTAGAGCTTGCGCAGGCTGGAGTCCATGAGGAAGTCCACAGACCTGAGTGGAGATTGAGGATGGTGAGCAGGTGACCATGGGCACTAATAGGGAGACAGGAGGCCAAGGCTAGGGAAAAGGGCTTCTGGATGTGGGTTACAAACACCAGCCAGATGAAAATACCTATCCTTTGCTCCCCTCTTCCCACCTTGGTCTACCTGAGGAAGCCAGGAGCAAGAAAGGAGGACCTTTCTTCGGGGGAGAAATTGAGGCACAAATGAGTGAAGGAATTACTCAGGGTCAGTTATGTCCCCTGAGAAATTACTCTTCCTCCCAGTAGCTCAGGGGAAGCCACAAGGAAGACAGATAATGCCCTCATCCGTGGACTGGTCTATTGGGTTGACCCCATCTCTGGTTTTAAGAGGAGGCATATGACCCAACCCTGGCCAGTCAGAAGAGAGGAACTGGCTCAGAGGTGGAACACCTGGTCCAGAATAGACCAATCATAGCCTTCTTTGGGATTTTTGCTGTCACTTTTTATAAGTGTCCCATGGCAATTTTCAAGGTGGGGAGATGAAAGCTGGAGACTATTGGGGGGGGGGCTTTCAGAGTGAGGTGGGATGGGGTGGGGAGAAGGACAGAAGGATGGGGAGATCTAGCCATGCCTGAAAGCAGCACAACGTGGACATTTTGGTTTCACAAAAGAATGAATTCCTGTCTTACTCAACCTATTGAGTTGCTAAACTCAAGGTCAGTTCAAACTCAACAATGATTCTGCAGAATAAAAATAAGGCTATCTTCACCTGTAAGGATTTATAGCCTTGGAAACCCTGTACAGGATCACTATGAGCCGGAATAGACTTGATAGATGGCGGTGAGTTTCTTTTGGCTTTTAGTTTGAGTTGGGCTTCTGCCACCAAATCAAAAAATCAAGCTGCTATCTAATTGATTACAACTCATTGCGGCCCTATAGGACCGAATAAAACTGCTCCATAGTGTTCCTGAAAGGAGCTCTGGTAGCGTAGTGGTTACGAACGGTCTGCTCACCTTAAGGTCAGCAGTTCAAAACTACTAGCTGTTCCACAGGAGAAAGATGAGGCTTTCTGCTCCCGTAGAGATTTACAGCCTCAGAAACCCTATATAGGGTCGCTATGAGCCGGAACTGAGTCCACGGCACGTAACAACAACAACATAGTGTTCTTGAAGTTGTCAGTCTTTATGGAAGCAGACAGCCTCATCTTTCTTCCGAGGAGCAGCTGGTGGGCTGAACCACAAACTTTTCGGTTATCAGCCCATGCTTAACCCACTGAGCCACTATGTCACCAATAACCCCCCAAATCCATTCCCTCCAAGATGTACTACTCTTACTTGCTTTTGTAACACTAGATTTCTTTCTGGAAATTTACTTGACTGGTCCTGGGTCTCATACCCTCAAGGCACTGCCTTCCTTTACTACCACAGGAGCTCTGGTAGCGTTATGGTTACGAATTGGGCTGCGAACCTTAAAGTCAGCAGTTCGAAACTACCAGCCGCTCCGCGCAAAAAAAATGAGGCTTTCTGCTCCCTTAAAGATTTACAGCCTCAGAAACCTGTACAGGGTCGCTATGGGTTAGAACTGACTCGATGGCACTTAACAACACCTGCCAGATCAGACAAGGACACAAACTGTCCTTAATACTTCTGTACAAAGTGGATGAGTCCTATGCCTTTCTGAGCCTATCTTCACCTCGGTCAAGTAGATGATCCCTGGGGCTGGGAGGGGCTCTCACCTGTCAATGGGATGGACGATGACAGGGATAATCAGCAGCCCCAGTGCAGTGGTAGTCCACTTTCGGACAGCCAGAGGCCAGCGGGTGGTGGTGCCCAGGACATAGAGGGAGGCTGCACACACACGGTTGACAGTGAAACCTGGGATGGCCACAGAGGCCAGAGCCTGCCACACAAAGGTGTCTACCACCGCCAGGGTCACCCTGGTGCTACGGCCTGCTTCAGGGCTTGACACCTGTGGACACAAGGAACATTTAACAGAGCTGGGGTGGAGGTCAGGAACTCTGGGACGAGAGGTATGAAGATGGACCAGGGTGGGGGGAACGGGGGAAATCGGGGTACCCATCGGGGATAAGAATTCAAACTGCAGTAGAATTGGGTCCTGGACTGTACCATATGCAGGACTGGGGGAGGACCATACTGCTGAGAATGAATTCTATATATAGGACTGGGGGTGGGCTGTACTGAGGATGAACTATCTTAGAGTAGGCTCAGGACTGTACTATATTCAGGGCTGAGAGGGAGGGCAGGAACTCTCACCACGTGCAGGATAGGGGGTTATAGACTGCACCACAGGTGAGGTTATCAGGAGTGAATAACCACAAGGCGAATGGATCTCACCACAGGCAACGCTATGGACTGAACCACACCGGAAGCAGGAACACTCACATCTCCCGCCTTCTTGCCCTTGTCCACAGCATCTGCTAGCACATAGGAGCTAGATACACCATAGCTCAGCCACACCACTGCTGCAGGCACCAGCGAGCGGAAGGCCTCCCCCACCTCATTGGCATAACCTAGGAGGGAGGGGAAAGAGGAGGTAGCCAGCACTACATTCTCAGGCCCATGGGCGGTTCCACAAGGGGGCGCTCCAGCTGGTTCTAATCCAGCCTGCTAAACAAAAGCTGGTTGACCTTAGGCAAGTGTCCTTACCTCTCTGAGTTTCGGTTTCCTGTTTCATAAAACGGAGCCCATGAGGCCCACCTCATCTCCAGTGCCATAGTGGGGGACGTTGAACACAGTGTCACCATTATCATCACTCATTATTAGATTTCTTGCCTTCCTAGCATCTGTACTAATGGAGAACCAAGCAGCGGGGAGCCTGCCCATGAGCAGCCCCAGGGATCCGACACTCGTCATGTGCCACTCTTTATCTCATTTCCACCCCTACAACCACCACCCGAGGAGGCGAGCTCTTCTCTTTGATCTTATTTGCTGGGAGGAAACTAGCTCAGACATATGTCTTTAGTTGCTAACTAGTCGATTTCGACTCATAGTAACCCCATATGTGCAGAATAGTACCGTTCCATAGGGCTTTCAAGGCTGGGACCTTTCATAAGTAGATCGCCAGGCCTGTCTTCCCAGGCGTCTCTGGGAGAGTTGAAACTGCCAATGAATGGTTTGTGCAGTGCGGAGATGGGAGTTGAGAACAACCTGACTCCACAGCCAGTGCTCAGGCATGCCAGGGGTCGGCAAGCTAGCCCCTTTCCTCATGGCTCCGGGTTCGCGCCTCCTCCCCGGGACAACTAACCTGTAGAGACGTCTGAGTGCTACTCTGAACCCACCAGCGCTGTGTGACCTTAGGCAAGTCCCTAGCCCTCTTTGAGTCCAGTCTCCGGTCCTAGGCGGAATGACAACTATAACCCTCCCGCCTCCTCCAGGCTACCGGCCAGCACAAACGTTGGGGTGGGGGTGGGGGGGATCATCGCGACCCTAGCTAGCCCCACGCTCACCCAGGTACCGCACCCACGTGTCGCGGTAGAGGTCACGCTCAGCGGCCCTCGGCGGCGGCTCGGGCATGGCTCTCCCGCCGAGATCCGGGCACTGCAGCCACCTCTGACACCTTGGCTCCACTAGCACTTCGGTCGGCCGGCGGCAGCCGCGCGACCGGCCAAAGGTCTGGGGCTGAAGGACAGGTCGTGCAGTTCTAGATCGCAGGGAGCGTCTGCAAATTCCCCCGCTCACGGAAGACCCTCTAGGGGGCTCTGGTTTTCCGGAAGGATTTTCTGTACGTTTTCTCTAGGCTGAGGGGGCGGGGCACGATTACTCTGTCCCCATCCTAGAAGTGACTATGGTTTGTGGAGCCAAAGAGGCATGGATTCGAATTCAGATGTCACATTCCCTAGCTACTTGACATCTGGCAAGAGTCTACTTCACTGAGTTTCACTTTATTCATCTGTAAAATGGGGGTAATTACAACAGTCACATTTATTTAGCTCACTACGCTCCTCCCCCCAGGACTCCTGGTGTGGTGCTGCAGGATAAGCACTGGCTGCAAAGTCCAGTTGAACAGCAAGATTGACGGTTCAAACTCACCAGCAGCTCTTCAGAACCCCCCCTATATGGGTCGCTATGAATTGGAATCCACTCGGTGGCACTTAACAAGCCCACCTCAAGCCCGGCGGCTGTAGCTAGATCTACCTCTAGAGAAGGCCAGTCACTGCCGGATCACACTGCAGCTAAGGGGTAGAGCCGTGATTTGAGGCCATATCGTTCCTGGATGCTTATAATGAGGCTGGAGGAGTGAATGATGGGTGAGCTGTCTGGTGAGGTGGATACTGGGACTCTGGAGTCCATTCCAAGTATCTATCAAGCACTCGGGTCTAACTGGGGATTGATCTGGCCCCAAACCAAGACTTGGGGCAGGATTTTGAATAAATGAATAAGAGAGGCCAGGTTGGAGTACAAGACTCCAAGGAAATGAGTTTTGAGAGGTTAGTGTTAACAACAGGAGGAGCCCCTTTCTCAGTGTACCCATCTGAGCAATGAATGGGGTTACAATTCACTAAAACTCTGAATGTCAGAGGCAAAAGGCGTGCTATAAAGACAGGCAGTTCTGGGTTCAAATTCTAACTATGCTGCAAATTAACTGTTAGCTCCCCGTACACACTTTTGTAAAAGATGAAAAGTAGATCTCTTCTGAGCACTTTGCACGAATTATTTCCATGAATTTTTACGCAGTTGTTGTGTGCCATGAGTTGGTTGTGACTCATGGCAACCCGGTGCCAGGATCTCGAGGCTGTAAATCTTGGTGGAAGTAGAAAGGCTAATCTTTTTCCCTTGGTTTGCAGTACGCGCTCATATTGTTTGGGCGCTCTTTAAGAGCTGGCTTTTAATATAATCAAATAAACATGGAGAAGTGAACATGACTTATTCCCTATCGAGATCCGCGTTTTTAATCCTGAGCGGCATTGACTTTGTAAGGTCTTGGAAGACAACCAGGTCACAGATTATCTCGCTAGTCACCCAAAGCGGTCCCCAGCCCCTAAAACACCAGCAGTACTGGGGCGAAATTAGGAGACGGTCCCTAACACCACATGATCGCTTCTTCTCCGCCTCCCTCCCACTCCAAGTCTGTTCCCTCCGCTGAGCGGCGCACTCTCGCCAGTATCTGCAAGTCCTCGCCCAAAGAGAATCCTAAACTGGGTGGGGCTTCTGCCCGCAATGCGAAGGCAGCCAAGAGCACCCTCAATGCCCTTAGAAAATATGACGGAAAACAGTCAACCAGCCGGACCAATCAGGAAGCAAACTGAGCCCCAAGGGAAAACACACTAAGCAACTGAGAGGTTTTGCTAGTGTTCCGGCTGCTGGCGTGAAGCAGTTGCTGGACCTCCGACCGGCTTGTCCTCTGAATAAGGGGCAGCGGCGAGGAGAGTGGCGCGGTGTATTGAATTCCACTCCCCGTGCACTGAACGTTGCTTTATTCATTGGTTAATTTTCCTAACAGAACGGTATAAACCAAGGCCGGGATGCCCTCCTGAAGACTCTGGTGGGGGAGGGTCCGCGAGGCCTCAGCCCCTCTCACCCGGGTCAGCCCAGCCTTGGGCTCCTTTAGTTTCCCCAAATTAAGCTTTGCACGCTGGGCTGGGACCTGGGTGTATGAGGGACAGGCGTTCCCGCAAGAGACCGAGGTGCCCTCTCATATTCTGGGCAGCCAGGATCTGGCAGTAGGATGGGGTTTGGGTAAATGCTTTGGTTGCCATTTGGGTTAGTGGCCACCAGGCCCCAATTGGCTACCAAACGCCCACGTTCCTTCCCTGCTTGGAGGCCCCACAGATTGAAGGGCTGGAAGCCTGCGGGGTCCACCTGATGTTGCCCCAGCCCCTGGTGTGCAACAGTTTGCCCTGCCATTGGCATCCTTGCCCCAGCAGCTCCCCCACCTGGTCCACCTAGGGACCCCAGGAGTCCTCTGTGACCCACCCAGAGATGGGACCACCAAGACCTTGTCTGGATCAGTCAGGAAGAGGGTTGGTTGGCAACCCTAGGGGAGACTCAGGCTGGGAAATGCCCTCTCTGTGTGCTATTAATCCAATATGTCATTTTTGTTTGAGATGCTCAGGAGGCTTCTGGCTGAGAAAGGAGAAGGGAAGGCCCAGGGTGTGCTTACAGCCCAGCCTCCTGGGCTTTTCAATGGGGCTGGGATCCCAGGAGATACTTACTATTCCCTTGTGCTCTGTTTGCATGGAGGGCAGTGGCTAGAAACCCAAGTTCACTGTCACAGGAAGCTCTGAGTCAATGATACCCAGGACTTGCTGAGGGAGAGACCTGCTTACCTACCCCTGAGTGGGAAGCTCTATGCTGACTCTGGCTACCTCCTGAGACCTGGGAAAAGCCAAAAGCTATGCGGGCCTCAGTGATAAAAGTCTGGAAGGCTTGGTCCCGATCATAAATCTAGCAACTGACTACCTTGCTACTACTCTTCATTCCGATCTAGACATACATGTTCGTGTGGAAGCAAGTTCCTGTCTTGTAGCTGGCTCCCCTGAAATACTAGGTCTCAGTCTCTCTCCCTTTCTTTAATTTCTTCCCTGTTGTGACTCCAAGGTCCCTCCCACCTCCCTGTCTTAGGTGTCATGAGACAAGTGAAGTTGGCACAGCTTATGAGATCAGTAGATCCTATCATGGTACCCAGCCCTCAGTACTCCTTAGCAATTGGGGAAGCAAGAAGACCCACCCCAGCCTCACTTCCTCTCTCTAATTCTGATATGAAAGCTCCCTGGATCGAGCCTGGGGCCCTTCCTCTAGCCTAGTTTCTTTGGGCTGCAGGGTGCTAGGAAAAAGACTGTCACAAGGGATAGAAGTTGACAGGTAGACAATGAGGAGGTCAGGCCTCCTGGGGGAGGAGGAATTACTTTGGGGTGACTGCCCCCAGCTGTTGCATCTTCTCTTCTGAGGCTTTGTCTGGAAGCAGGACCTCCACAGTGAAACTAACCTTCTTGGCATGAATGAAGCTGTAGGTATTGTCAAACCGCAGGACATCTGAGGGGAGGCAGAAAAGCAGACATTCAGACAATTCTGACAAAGGGCTTGGGGACAGCGATTATTGTTGATTTTTGTTGACTGGGCAGGGCAGTGTGGTAGGTAATGAGGATGAAGGTTAACCTGAAACCGAGTCTAGCTGAGCTGATAAGATAGATGTTCACATACAGAAAACAAAAATAGACAGAACATACCAAATGGCATGCTGAAATGAGTGACGGAGACAATCACTTCTGTAACCATTTGTAAGCAGAAGGTCCTGTAAACTGAAATCACATGAAAGGCTTTCTAGAGGAATTTTAACTTGGCCTTAAAAAGAGGGAGATTTAGCAGTAGCAGCAATAATAATAATGTTGTTGTTGTTAAGTACCGTTGAGTCGATTCCGACCCATAGCAACTCTGTATAGGGTTTCCAAGGAGCAGCTGGTGAGTTTGAACCACCAAACTTGTAGTTCAAACGATTTTGCAGTCTGATGCATTAGCCCACAGCACCACACCAGGACTCCATCAATAATAATTAGTAGTAATAATAAATAAGTAGTAATAGTAGTAATAATCTTTGTTTATATGTCCCAACTCTGCTTAGCACTGGGTTAGTTATTTTACTATTCTGGTTATTTCGACTAGTCTCACAACAGCTCCATGCATGAAGTATTTGTCTGGTTTTAGCGTTTTGCTGCCGTAAAGATTTATAGCCTCAGAAACCCTGTGCAGGGTCACTATGAGTCGGAACCGACTCCACAGTACTTACCAACAAACAACAACCATATACAATAAAAAAGAGGTGGTAGAACCCTGCATTACATAATCAGGAAGTGTGGATGAACCTGGAATTTCAGATTTAGAACCCCTGCTAGTCCCTATTACTTCCTTTGTCTTGCCAGTTTCAGACCCAAACCCGCTGCCTTGAGTCCATTCTGACTTACAGTGACCATATAGAACAGAATAGAACTGCCCCATAGGGTTTGCAAGGCTGTAAATCTTTAGGGAAGGAGACTGTTAAATCTTTCTCCCAGTCCTGTTCAATTTCTGAACAAAGGTTAAAATGTGCAAACTTTTTGAGCCAGCAATTTATCCCACTGCAAGATAAACATGGATAATAATATAAAGTAGAAAAACTCAAATATTCAGCAAAGGAGAATTGCTTCAACAGATCGTGTTGTGCTTCTATATGGTGGAATACTATTCTGATGTCAAAAGGAAGATGTTAGCGCTATAAAAAATGACTGGGAAAACTGCCCATAATATATCTTTGGGCAGAAAAAGCAAGATACAGCACAGTTTGTAACACAGTAGTATATTTCTATGTAAAATAAAACTTTGGGGCTTTAGGTACCTTGTCTAAATACACTCCGATATTTGTCCTAACAGATGTTTGTCCTAACAGAGAAAATTTTTTCAAATCCTGGTAAGTTTTACAACTTTAAAAAGTTCTTCCAACATACACGAAATCACAGACATAATTCATATGAGTGTTTACATGTCCCATAGACTATGGAAACATAATATTTTGAAAGGTATGGAAAATATTTGATAGGACAACAGACAAGACTTGTTAGTAATAGTTTCCTCTGAAGGGATTGGCCATGCAGTAAGCAGAGAAAGCCAAACGTTGGCAAAGGAACAGACTCCTTTAACGTTAACCCTGTTTCTTTGAGAAATTGTTGCATTTCAGTCAAATACCCCTTCAAGAGAACAGTGTGTAAAAACAAAAACACCAGCTCTGTCTCTTTTCTTATCTTGGTCTTCACTCATATTTTCCAGCAAAAAACTATTTAATCCTGAAATGTAACCCTTCCCCTTTCCTGTCCCTGAATAAAAAACAGAGTTTAGACTGAAGGTAGACATACCCCCCACCCTTTCTTCAGGGTGTGAAGTGAATGACTATTAGTCATTATCTCTCTGTACCAAAGGTCTTTCTGGACCAATGGTTCTAAAGCATGGCCTTCTAGAAAGAGAGAGAAGCTTCCATCTGCCCTGGATGCTGAAAGCTTGGCAACCAAAGAGTCAGATACACTGGAAAAGAGGTCTTTGAGCTCTTTGGACCAAGCACCAAGTTTGAGACAGCTCTGTCTAAGATTCTAAGCGGTGGTTGTTAAGTGCCGTCGAATCTGACTCATAGGGACCCTGTATAGGGATTCCAAGACTTTGTGGGAACAGAAAGTCTCATCATTCTCCCACAGAGCAGCTGGTGGGCTCTGCTGACCTTATGGTTAACAGTCCAGTGCTTATCCAACAGAGCCACACAATCCCCCAGGATGCTCTGTTGCCCCCATAATATGGCATCTAGATGGTTCACTCTGATACTCATCGTGTACTTCCAGCCTCTAGAGTCCCCAGAGACCCTCCTATCTAGGGCTCCAATGTTTTTTTTGGGTAACTGACCTCCTTGAGAATCTGATGAAACACAGTTGCAGATCCCTGAAGCCTATCACGGATTCCCTGGGGAAAGGTACCACTCTGAAAAGGTACCTTTGGAGGAGGTTTGGTGGAATCTTGCCCTCTCATTTCTGTATTGAAAAAACAATATTTCAAGTTCGCCTTTTATTTTTTAGCTGGGATATTATGTTGATTTTTTTTTAAAGTTGTCAGCTGGTCATATTATTATGGATTTCACTTTAGTAAAGGTAACATCAGAAATTATTTGTCATGAAAGGGGAGTGTTTGGTCTTGAGGATTTAGAACTAGCACTAAGGGGGAGGGGGGACCATGGATCCTAGATTAAGATCTCCTCCACTCCCCTCATTTTAAGAAGAAAGCAAAATGTAATTATTTCAAAATACATTTTCAAAGAAACTCAGGAGTAGAGATCCTCTTTTCACAACTAGCACTAGCCAGCACTGCTGTCTAACCCTCACATGGTGATTCTTCAAAACCACATTTATACTTGCTGACAGAGTCCAGATCTTTTCAGAGTCTCTTTCTATGCCTTGTAAAGTATGCCACACTCAGTCCTTCCTTCTCACTGCCCAGAAGTCGTTTCTGGCTATAGGACAAAGAAGAACTACTCCATAGAGTTTCTGAGACTGTCAATCATTAAGGAATTAGCCTCATCTTCCTCCCTCAGAATGGCTTGGTGGCTACACTCAGTAGCCCTCAGTAAATATCAGTTGAGTGAAACAATTTAGACTTAATTTCTCTTCCTTAGTAAGTTAGTATTCTTAGACAAAGATCAGAGAGGCCTAGGGGGTTCAAAGGCTCTAACATCAGAGTTCAATTTCTCAACTGGATGATTTTGTTCCACTCAGGAATCACCTCGTTCTCCAAGGGCATTACCCTCTGGCAAGTGTGCTTGTAACCTAACCCTCGATTCATCCTGGTCTCCAGTTGAGTTAACTGAACAGGCTTATTGTCTTTACACCTGGGAAGGGTGAATAGCTGCTATAGGGCCTGCCTCCGTTCCTGCTGGGAATTGGAAACAAGTAGATCAAGGCTCTCCAAGCAGATAAAGGTTCCTGTTAGGAAGGAAGCCAAGAGGAGCTGAACTAAATTTGGGATTTGCAAACCTAAGCCTGATTAAGTTAGAGCTCTGGTCTTTCCCCAGGTTATGTCCTTCAGAGACAATAGAGACTACTGAGGGGTAATGGGCAATGACGGAAAATGGATAGTATATGGCTGCTGTGTTTGTGGGTAAATCGACCTTCTCTGTCAAATCAAAGGATGGTCCTGATCATGTCCAAGACCAAGACTTCTAGAAGTCTCTGGTGCTCTGTCTTTTAGAGTCTACACAAGCTACTTAGTGAAAGAAATAAATCCGTCTACTATACCTCAGCTTCCCCTCCCATTACAAAAACAAAATTCAAGCTTATATATACCCAGTTATCTGTGGGTGACAAGTATCTGAGCTGGTACAAAGCTTTTCTTCTTGCTGAAGCACACAATATATCCCCCAGGACCCAGCTGCTCACTAACACTCCTCCTCGAGGAGCCCTGTGATATCACGGGGCAGCTGGGAGGAGGGGGCAGTAGAGAATGGAGAGGGCCAGGGATGTGGGCGAGGAGGCAGAATCTGAGGTTGGGTGATGTGTAGACACAGCCGAGGCATCCTTGGGACTAGCTGAGCTCTCGTGGTGGTGCTGCCATGGAAATGGGGCACAGAGCTTCTCCATCGCAAGCTCAGCACTATGTGAGGAACGGCCCCTCCCCTCTCCCTGAGGCCTTTCCCTGCTAATAATAATGGTGTTTTATTACTGGGAATCCTATTCCCACTGTATTGGGAATCCTAGTGTGGTGCTGTGGGTTAATGCACTGGGCTACAAGGCCAGTTTGAACCACCAGGCCACAGTGCAAGCTCACCAGCCTCTTCTCGTAAATAAAGAGTTGCTATGGGTTGGAACTGACTCAGCGGCACATAACAACAACAAAAACACTATATTGGGAGTCCTGGTGTGGCACTGTAGGCTAAGCACTCGGCCGCAAGGTCGGTTTGAACTGCGAGATTGGCAGTTCAAATTCACCAGCTGCTCCTTAGAAACCCTATACAGGATCGCTATGAGTCGGAGCAACTCGACAGCATTTAACAACAATACCACACTGTATTGAGTGTTGACTATATGCTAGGCAGTACGCAAAGTACCATGCAGACCTGTATTTCTGTGAGGCAGGGAATTCGATCTTCAATTTAGCAACCAGGCAACCCAAGCTGAGGGAGGTTAAGTGACTGGCCTAAGGCAAGTCTGATAACCCTGGTTCTCACTGATTTTCTGCACCTGGCCCCTTGGCTCTGCCCAAACCCAAGCACACTGCTAAGAAGTCACTTCTACTCATAGCTACCCTGCCCCACAGGGTTTCCAAGGCTGTATCCTGTCCGGGAGCAGACTGCCACATCTGTCCCCCACAGAGTGGCTGGTGGGCTCAAACCACCAACTTCTTGGTTAGCAGTTGGGCACATTTACTACTGCCTCATGAAAGCTCCTTCTTGGATCTGCTGACAGAGCAAACTTAAGATTTGATGGACATGGGTGGGAGGATGATGACATGTGTTTTTTGTTTGTAAATGTGGTCACTAAAAATGTTTCCGGTTTGTGGAAACAGGAGGGGGCTTCAAAAAGTTTGTGGAAGAATTCCATTATCTTTCCATTCCATTTTTCCATGAACTTTTTGAAACCCCCTTGTAGTGTTAAAAAATGAAAAGCCCCCTCCATATAAGCTTCCTACTACCCCAACAATAAGGAGCTCTGGCAGCGTAGTGGTTACGAATCGGGCTGCTAATCTCATGGTCAGCTGTTCCACAGGAGAAAGATGAGGTTTTCTGCTCCCGTAAAGATTCACAGCCTCAGAAACCCTGTACAGGGTCGCTATGAGTTGGAAGTGACTCCACAGCACATAACAACAACAACAACAATAACCACTTTTAGAATTAGCATGGATTCCCCAGAATTCTTCTGTGGATATACTGGGTTTTTTTTAAAATCAAAGTGAGTACATACTTATACCCTGTGTTTCATGCTTTATTTATCATGTGTCACACAGTTTACACCTTACGTACAATTACTCTTGCTAATAGGTATATGGCATTCTATTATGTGGATCATACATTTATTTAACAAGACCCTTATTATGGTCACTTGGTTTACTGTCAATTTGCCAAGCTGCTAAGAACATCTTTGTGTGATACCTTTGTGTATTTGTGTAAACATTTCTGTGGTGCAACTGTATTTCCACCAGTAGAAGTGCTGAGTCAGAGAGAACTGTAATAGATACGGTGAAGTCAAACACCACCTCACATGCCTAATTGGCAATTTGTACGCCTTTCATGCAAGCAGTCTGTCCAGAACCTGTGCCCATTTGGGGATCACCCTGGAGCTGCATGGTATCCAGGCTGGACTTTTCAACACTTAGCTCACTATAATCCCTACCCCGCCCAGCCAGTAGTACCTCTGACCTCTAGGAGAGTTGTATTCCCAAAGAATGTCCGGTCACAGAGCCAGTCAGACCTGGACAGAGAGCAGATGTTCTGAATCCCTGTGACAGCATAGGACTGTGACTGCCCCATACTGGGAGAGTCCTGCCCAGCTGTTAACGTGTCATTGCCAAACCTAACTTTCCTCATTTGTACAAGGGAGAAATGAATTGAGGAGCAACATTCTAACTCTCACAGTCTGAGATCCTAAATCCACGGAGGAAGAGGGGCTTCACGGGCAGGGACAGGGTAAGGGACTCAAGGCACCACCAAGAAAAGATACTTACAGATGCCAGGATCGCTGCAGGTGAGAGTTCCGTCCTCGGGCACCATGTGGGCATTGTACCTCTGGTTGGACAGCACCTCCGTCATATCACCCGCCCGCTGCCGCTCCCCCATCTTAGTCTTCAGGAAAATACCAAAGCCAATGTCTGCTCCGTCTGACGCGAACTGCCACCTGCAGGGTATACCCACCCATTTAGACAGGCTCTTTCTGTGTGTGCCCTTTTCTGCCCTTATCCTACAGTGCTGCCTATATGGGCAGCAGCTTCAAGCCATGAGGTCCACAACCCAGAGTCCTCTGCCCTCATGCTGGCCAGAAACCTACAGTGTCTATCCAGGGTGATCTCATCTGCACTGATAAGCTCCAGTGTACCATTGATGCCTCAGGATGGTGAAGATCCTACCTGAGAACACAGCCAGGGAAGAGGATCTCGTACTCCACTTGGTGAGAGGAGCCACGGGCGATCTGCACACTGTGCTCATACTGCTGTTTCACCTGGTCACGCACATAGTACTTTTTGGGGATGTCACCCCCATAGTTGATCTAGGAGAAGAGCATGAAGTGAACTGGATGGGGATTTGAGCCAGGCTTCCCTGTTCATCTGCAACCCCTGGTGCCCCATACCTTGGATTTACACTTGGGGTTTCCATCAGGGTCAGTCATGGTGCCCCCATACTCCACAGGCAGCTGGTCAGGGCTGATATGTTTCAGTAAAACCTCCTTCCAGTTTGCTGGTGGGAAGGGAAGGAAAGAGAAAGACATGTATGTCACCACTAGACAAGAGTTCCCAGCTCTGGCAGTCCACACCATAGAGAAAAAAATCAACCCATCCTCAAATTAGATATTATGCAGGGAGAGAGCGAGCTATGCATAGTACTGTAGGAGAAGCCATTGCCAGAGGATTGTCTGGCCAAGTTCAGGGATCACAGCTCTGAACTGCTGTCCTCACTGCCTCTGACCAGCTGTGTGACCTTAGGAAAATCAATTCATTGTGAGCCAGACTCATAAGAGAATTCCTATTTCTCTTGCCCCACAAGGTTATGGGAATGAAGCGAACCAAATTCTTGAGAGGGCTTTGTAAGTTGTAACATACAATTACATGAGAGTGGATTCTCATGCCAAGGAAGGTGATACCAACATCTATCTGTAAGCAGGAGACAGAGCAAGCTGGGGAGGGAGAGCACACCATGCAGAGGGAACGCATGTGTGATGGGTAAGAAGGCCTGAAACAACATCGCAGATTCTAGTTAGACTGAACTCCCTGAAGGCACACCCTGGGCATCTTGTTTTCCACTTCAGCCCACACAGGGTCGTCTTAGTCATTTCAGTAAAGTGACCCCGCATGGCTGCCCCAGACTTTCCCCCCAGCCTGTTTCACTTCTGCTCCTGTTGTTCTGGGCTGTTTAACTGCCAGAGATGTGTCTTGTTATTTCTCAAAGCAATGCCCCTTTCTGACCAGGAAAGTCTGACTCTAGTGCAGCCAATGCTGAGAACCACTTTCCTACCAATCCAGTTGACTACACAAATCTCAACCAAGTGCAGTATTCTGGAACCCTTTCCATGCTGGCTATACAAAGACTATACGCTATATATGACTCTGTATAGACTGGTGGTGGTGGTGGTTGGTGGGTGTGTGCCGTCGAGTTGGTTTGAACTCATAGCGACCAGGTTTAGGGTTTCCAAGGCTGTCAATCTTCAGGGGAGCAGAAAGTCTCATCTTTCTCTGGAAAACCAGCTGGTGGATTCCAACTGCGGACCTTGCGGTTAATAGCCCAACGCCTAACCCACTATACCACCAAGACTCCATCTATATAGTATATACTATCTGTTTGAACTACTAGGTTGGTGGTTCAAGTTCACCAGTCACTCCTTGGAAACCCTATACAAAGTCCCTATGGGTCGGAACTGACTCGATGGCACTTAACAACAACAACAACATATGTGTCATTGAGTCAGTTTCTACTCATAGGGACTTTGTATAGGGTTGCCAAGGAGCAGCTGGTGGGTTTGAACTGTCAACATTGCAGTTAGCAGTCCAGTGATTATCCTGCAGTGCTGCCTATATGGGCAGCAGCTCCAAGCTATGAGGTCCACAACCTAGAGTCCTCTGCCCTCATGCTGACCAGAAACCTACAGTGTCTATCCAGGGTGATTTCATCTGCACTGCTAAGCTCCAGTGACCATCTCCAAGTGAATTTCCCACCTCCTCTCTTGACGATTCTGTGCCTTCTCAGCCCAAGGTGGGATTGGTTGAGAGAGTGTGGGTGGGAGAACAGATTGAATCTTCTACACAGCTCTGCTGCTGGGAAACCAACCCGTCTCTTGCACATGGTGGGTGGTAGCAGCAGAAAACCCAAAAATTATAAGCCTTTAGCTCAGATTCTGTATTTCTTCCCCCAATTCAGCTGGAGAATTGGGATATGGCCAAGACGATTCTTCCCATCTTACAGAGAGGATAACTGAGGCATCAGGAAGCCAAACTTGCTATCAGAGCTAGGACTAAACCAAGAAGTCCGGCACTTCCCAAACTGCTTCACTCTCCACACCAATGTCTTACTAGTCTACATTTGGGAAAAAATCCTTGCTTTCAAGGTGTCATCTAAGACAAGAGCTAAAGCTCTTGTTTATCTTCCTCTGTTCAGAAACTGTCAGACTCCATAAAACCAAGGTCAACTCTAGGGCCATCAAGCATTCCATAGGCCAGATCAGGTCTACCTTTCTAGTCCTTTCTCCCAGCACTTCATGGTCCAGTCAAACTCCAGTCTATCTATGGCAGACTTGACTCCATTGTGGGTTTGGGATCGCACTTCTATGCTCTGATGTTCTCCTTGCTTTCCTGCATATCAAATCCCTGTTGGCTGTTTCTCTCTCTCCCTGGTGGGTTTGTCTTTCTCTGCCTTCTCCTGAGCTTAGACCAAGGGTTCCATTGTCAGCCTTTATTCTTAGCCATTCTTAAGGTCTGAGTAACTGCCTAGACTTGACGATGCCCAAATCTCCAGACTAGGCTGGCATCCTCTCTGAAACCTCAGGCTTAAGTATTCTCAACATTTGCATATCTCATAGACTCCCCAAATTCAACTTAAACTTCTTCTTCCAGTTTGTACAGAATTAATGTTGAATGAATGCATCACCATCAATTCCATCATACCAGACACTAGGAGTCAGTCATTTTGATCCCTCATTCTACTTTACTTCCCACATCCAATCAATCTGCTATTTGTCTTCCTAAAGTCTTAAGTCCATTGTCTCCTCTCTAGCCCTACTGCCACCACCCTGGTTCAAACATGTAACAATGTAATAATGGCCATGTGTGCACACTGGCACCTGTGATTCTGTTCATCACAATCTTACTTGCATTCCCCTGCTTAGAGCTCTTCTCTGTTTCCCGGTGGCTAGCACAGTCATGCCTCAGCTTCCAGGCATGGTGCCCTGGATTCCCTGTGACCTGGATCCTGGACCTTCTCTAGCTCATCTCTTGACACACCCTGCCACACACACCACAAAAACTGCCTATGCCATGCTGCTTACCTTGCTTCATCTGTTGTTAAGTGCCATTGAATCGGTTCTGACTCATAGTGATCCTGTGTAGGATTTCCTAGGAGTAGCTGGTGAGCTTGAACCACCAACTTTGCAATTCAAACTGACCTTGCAGTCCAGCACATTAAAGCGCAGTGTCACACCAGAACTCCTTGTTTCATCTAGCAGATGCCTAATCACTGCAGCACTCAGCTCAGTGAGGTGAGGTGAGGGGCCTGCTCAGTGCTCCCGTGCACTTAGTGGTCCCCTCTCTCATATTTATCACGTCACACTGTCACATCTGTTTGTGTGTTCCTTCCTGAAGAGGCTGATAACTCTTCAAGAGACTCTGTCTTACTCAACTTTGCAGCTTCAGCACCTACACTAGGGCCCAGCACATCTTGTTGTTGTTATTGTTAACTGCTGTCACCTTGGTTCCTACTCATAGCAACTCTATGTAGGGTTTCCGAGAAGCACCTGGTGGGTCTGAACCGCCGACCTTAGGGTTAGCAGTCAGTGCTTGTCCTGTAGCACCATACCAGGTGCTTGTGAAATGAAGCCACTCCTAGATGCCTCCAAGTGAAAGCATACTCAGCTCCTAAGACCTCCATGGTACCTTCTCTTGCCTTTTCTTGGTCCCTTCTAGTTTGTACCCTAGCTTTCTCTCTACAGGTCTTCTTTCCATTATTGAAATGTAACCTCTCTGAGGGCAAGGGCTAAGGTTTCCTTCATCTTTGAACCTACAATGACGCAGCTGATACTTTCTTTTAGAGTGTCTGAGGGAGTTCTTATGAAAACAGACAGGAAGGCCCTAGCTCTGTCCTATATGGCTCCTGGATCCTACACCAGTAGGGGGAGACTTCACCCTGATTGCTGAGGCCATACATCTAAAGCCAGCCTCAGTCTGGGCCAAAGCATCTGTGGGGTTGAGAAGAGTAGAGACCACTCACCTCCCAGGACCATGATCTTCCTACGAGTATCCTCACTCAGAAAGGGTTTGATGAGGTTATAGGCCACAGGAAACAGCTTGGGGGCTGAAATAGAGACCAGGAGATGAGGTAAGAAGCAGTGTCCTCCAGAGCCTTCTCTACAACCCCCAGTGCTGTTCCACACATCCTCCAGTGCTATGGAGCCTGGATAGGCAGCTCAGGGTCTGAGGCCCAGCATACATCTTAACAGCACTTCTGAATTTGTACACCGTCTAGTCAAATGGTCTCTTCCTATCTCACTCAGCTATGTGGCTCAAAGGACATTGTTGTTCGTTGCCAGTGAGTTGATTACGACTCATGGAGGCCCCGTGTGCGCTCCCTAAGGTGTTCAAAGCTGTGACCTTTTAGAAATAAACTGCCAAGCTCATCTTCCAAGGTGCATCTCTAAGTGGGTTTGAACTACCAGCCTTTAGGTTAGTCATCAAATGCTTAACTGCATGCACTACCCAGGGACTCTTTCGAAAGAAGGAGGTGGTAGTGGTGATTGTGTGCCATGAAGTTGGTTCCAACTCATAGAAACCCTATATATATATATATATATATATATTTTTTGAGGCTATAAATCTTTACAGAAGCAAAAAACCTCATCTTTCCCTGGTAGAGCAACTAACTGGTAGGTTTGAACTGCTGACTTTGCAGTTAGCAGCCCAATGTATAATCTACTATAGCACCAGAATTCCTTTTTTTGTTGTTGTTTAAGTTTTTATTGTGAATTGAGTGAAAGTTTACAGGGCAGATCCTCAGTTTTTCATTCAACAAACCATATACTTTGTTTCATTACCAGAATTCCTTTTCAAAGGAGGTGCTATTCACAATGGAATGCTATGCAACTGTGAAAAATAAGATGAATCTGCAAAGCACTTCACAACATGAATGAATCTGAAGGACATTATGCTGAATGAAATTTGTTGTTAAGTATCATGGAGTCGGTTCTGACTCATAGTGACCCTGCACAGGGTTTCCGAGGCTATAAATTAGTCAATCACTAAAGGACAAATATTGTATGAGACCACTATTGTAAAAAGTGAAGAAAATGTTTTCATGCTAAAAGAAACATTCTTTGATGGTTAGCAATGGTAAGAGGGAAGGGAGAGTAAATCACTGACTAGAGGGTAGACACATGTTAACTTGGGTGATGGGGAGGGCAATATACAAGAAGAGGGAGGTTAAGAGAAGAATGAAGAAGATGATGAAAACACAGGGAGGTATTCCAGGGCTAAAGGGAATAGAGGTAAGTAGTGTTATATAAGCAGACTTAGAACAACAGTGTTCTCCAGGTAGATACATGGGCAGATACATAGGCTGAAAGGGTATGGGAGGAAGAGTGGGAGTATACCCATAAATATGTAAGGGTTTGTTAGAGGAAATTTGTATTGGGTACAAATACCTCTGCTGTAAATACAACTATGAATGTATTAAAGCATACAACAGGCAAAATGATAAAAACTTCTTAGATATGATCAAACATCTTAAGGCAATGAGTTGCTGGGCCCAGAGGCTCAGAATCATAGTCTTAGGGGACAGACCATGGTCAATTGGCAGAACATAGTCCGCAAAGACACTGTTCAATGCCCTACTTTGACGAGTAGCGTCTGGGATCTTAAAAGCTCATAAGCGGCCACTAAGGTGCAAGTATTTGTCTCTCCATGTAGAAGAAAGAAGAGTGATAAGAATTGAAGTTGCCTGGAATCAATTCGTCCAATGGACTAATGGAACCTGTGACCTTCAGTCTCCATGACTCTGAGACCAGAAGAACTAGATGGTGCCCAGCTACCCCTACCAACTCCTCTGAAAGGGAGTTCCAGATAGAAGGTTCCAGATAGAGCAGGAGAAAATGTGGAACAAAACTCAAAAAAAAAAGGACCAGGCTTACTTAAGGTCAGAAAAAAACTAGAGGAACCTGAGACTATGGCCGTCAATGACCCTTCAGATCTAGAAAGGAACTCATCCTTGTAGCCCAATTTTCAGCCAAGCAGTAGATAGGTATGTAAGGGGAACAACAACATTAGTCCATGGAATGGTCAATTATTCAAAATCAAAAGGGTAACATTTACCTAGAACGAAGTTCAGAAAGAAGGTAGAATGGAAATAGGAACCACAGGATGTAAATGGGTTAAGTGTTGTTCCATGGAGGGGATTGCAATCATTGAGATGAAACAAAGCATAAGATTTGTTGAATGTAAAATGGATGATCTTGTCTGTATACCTTCACTTAAATCATAATTACAAAAAAAAAAAAAGGAGGTATTTTTGTTAAGTGCCATCAAGTTGGTTCTGACTCACAGTGACTGTACACAGTTTCCAAGTAGTAGCTAGTGGGTTTGAACCTCTAACTTTGAGGTTAGCAGTCCACTGCTTACCCTGAAGTGCTATACCAGGACTCCTCAAAGGAGGTTTGTTGCTGTTGTAAAATGCCATCAAGTCAGTTCTGACTCATAGTGGACCCTGTATAGGGTTTCCAAGGACCGAATGGTTAGCTTGAACCACCAACCTTGTAGTTCAAATTGGCTTTGCAGTCCAGAGCATGAACCCACAGCAGAGGTAGGAAACATAAAAAGCTTTGTGAATTGTAAAGGGGTCTGACTATCTACAGAGTACATCTTCTCAACACATCCTCAGGCCCCCTTGTTGGGCTCTCTCAGTTTCACACCTCTCAATCTGCCCCATTAACATTTTGGCCCACTTTCCCATTTGCCTTCCTCTTGTGAAATTCCCAACTTACCTTTAACAACAAAAAGACGCTTCAGTGTTTCAGGATAATTTTCCTCAAACATGCAGAGAAACTGTGGAAGCAAAATCACACCAGCAGGCTCAGACCTCTGCCAAGGAGAGAGGCCCGGCTTCCTCTCCAGGAATCTGTCCCTACCACCTTACCCATCCCGCAGGGCACCTAGCAGAGGGACCCAACTCCCCTTTCCCTTTGCTCCACCCTCATCTAGGAGGTTAAGTCCTAGCCCCTCCCCCTTTCCTCCTCTCCACCCTCTTGCCATAGTGGCCAAATTCCAGCCCCCTCACCTCGCCATAGGCTTCCACAGCAGGCTTCCAGAGATGCTTAAGGCCAAGTCCCTCACAGTCATAAATCATGGTTATGGTCTCGATCTTCTTCCCCACCTACAGGGAATGGAGAAACATCTCATCCCACTGCTCCACAGCAGAAACTCACCCCCTGTTACCCTTAAGCATTAAGTTGATTTCCATTCTATAGAATGCACCCCATAGGGTTTTTAAGGCTGTAAATTTTTGCAGGAACATATTACCAGGTCTTTCTCCAATGGAGTAGCTGGTGGGTTCAAATCAGTAACATCTAGATTAACAGCCGATCACTTAACCCCTATACCAACAAGGCTCCTTAGAAACCCACCCCAGGTCTGGGCAAATGCTGATTGTGCCACGTGCTGCAGGAGCAGCAAGATCTAGGCAGGGCTGTGTCTAGGCTTTTCCAGACTGACATCATCAACCCAAGCCGGATTTGTAGCATCAGCAAGTGGTTCTTCCTGCCTAGGCCTTCCAGTTCTCATCTTGTTCTGGGTGGCTGTAGATGATATCTGAGGTTCCCTTTGTTCTGAGGTCCCCACTGTTCTGCAGTCTGAGCTTCCATCTCCTATCTCAGAATCGCTGAGCACTGAGCACTCTGTGGATAGCAACGCGGGACATTCCTTGAATGGCCACTTATTTTGGGGGCACAGACCCTCTCTATCCAATGTAAGCCCAGGAGGGCTGGCCAGTGACCAAGATCTTACCAGCCCCCAGATAAATGACAGAAATAAAGATAATGTACTGAGTTGACTATAAAAATGTATTCAACTTTAAGAAATGTCCTTATTCAGAGATTATGCCATTCTTATAGCTTTGGGTGTTAATTATAGCAATTTTTGTTTGTTGTTAAGTGCCGTGGAGTCGGTTCTGACTCATAGCAATTCTGTATAGGGTTTCTGTATAAGAAGTGAATGGTAGGTTTGAACTGCCAACCCTGCAGTTCAAACCAACCTTGTTCAAAAATCTGGGCCTCAGCCCTAAAGCTGTGCTTGAAGCCCTCCACTGATGGTTAACTCACGTTTAACCGTGGTGGTCCGCTCACCTTTGCTGTTTGTCGGCCACACTCCTGCAGAAGTAGCTCACAGTCCCGCATCTTAGTCCTGAGTAAGTCCTGTTTGGTGGCTGAGAACAGTAGCCCCTTGGCATCCAGAGGTCCAATAATATCGAACCAGACAGGGCAGCCATCCAGGTCGTAGCCACACATGCCCCCTGAGAGATACTGTTGGACCACCTGGCCAAAGACATAGAAGAGGGGCTTGGTCTGCTGGCCCAGGGCATCCATACCATCCCTATACCACAGGGTCTGACTCTGGACTCTTCAGCTTCACCCCACACACCCCTCATCTGAGTGACAATGCCCATTTTGGGAACCATCAGAGTTCAATAGCATTATTGATTACACCTTTCCTCTGAGAATCCCAGTTTAGTAGACCCAAAACTCAAGACTGACATCTGCTGTTGTTAGATGCCACTGAGTCAGTTCCAACTCTTAGCAACCCTGTATACCACGGAACAAAATACTGTCTGGTCCTGTGTCATCCTCACGACTATTATGTCTGAGCCCATTGTTGCAGCCACTGTGTCAGTCCCTCTCATTGAGGGTCTTCATGTTTTTCTCTGATCTTCTACTTTACCAATCATGATGTCCTTTTCCAGGGACTGGGCATGAGGTAGAATAACAAATGGGCCCTCACCTCTGGAGGCTGCCAGTTGATGATGTTGTCAATGTCCTTTTGCTTTCGGAACTCTACATGCTGCAAACACACAGGATTTCAAAAGTAAGGTGGGGGGCCTTTTGGTTGTTTGAATGATTGTATATTCCTGAGTGTTTTGGTGCACATCCAAAAAAAAAAAAAAGATGGGATAGAAGCAATACTGTTGAATGATGACGTACGCAGGGGATTGTAATCATTGCAATGAATACGATAGGATGAGTATAAAACTGATGTACCCCCATTATGTAAACTATCAATCAATTCACAATAAAAGCTTTAAAAACAAAAAAAAAAGTGAGGTGGGGGAACCCCTTAGTCAGTATTTAGCAATAGATAATGACAAAGCAGACTACAGGTGGGTCATTAGAAGGTAATAGGTAGGAGTAGAAGCAACTTTAGAGGTCTTGGCAGAACAGATGACAGAATTCTTGGCTGGCCCGGAAATTCTGAAAGCTCTCTTTTCCCAAAAGAGGGAATGTACTTTGTCGTAAACGGACAAGACAATATTGGTTGATTAATGCTCAGGTATATTACACAAGCCAAAGGCTGCAATTAGGGTGGGTGGGGTAAGCCAAAAGGTCCAAGCAAGGTGTGATTTGGAAGGGAGGAACCAAGGCAAAAGTGGAGTACAAAGTCAGATGGAGCTCACCTTCCGAAGCATGGCCTCTGACTTCTGCAAGTCAAAGCTTCTGGCTATAAGAGGGAAACGTGGTCAGGGTTAGGCCAGCAGACTCTCTAGATGCCCAAGGATGGGGAGGTTGCCCTAGTCCCATGCTAGAGCTAGCAACCCTCAGTCATCTCCCCAATTGATTTTCAGGACATTATATAGGCAGCAGCGAACATGAAGACCTCTAGTAAGGGCTTCTTGAGGACCACAGGTCCTGGCTGGGGACAGCAAGTCATGGTTCATGACAGTTGAGGGCAACATTGTGACTTCAGGTTCAAAAGAATTTTACCCCAGTTAGATGCAATCAGGTGAAAAGTCTTCTGTCTTCTCAGGGAAAGTGAATCCTGGACCCCTTATCAATTGGCCTTCCCCCTTATTCTCCTTCCAGTCTTGAGAATTCAACCCACGGTTCAATAATCTAAGATGGAGCTAGAAAAACATCCAGTACTATAGAGGGGTTGCTGAACCTCAGAGTCCCTAGAGGGATTTGGAATTAAAGTTCACCAGGGCCAACTTTACTTTTATGCATAAACTTCAATACACTGTCCCATCCAAGTTTGAACATGAAGACCTCACTGCCTCCCCAGACCACTTGCTCCCAGATATTCAGTTTCACATATGTACTCAGTGCTATTTGTTGTACTGAACTGCGATTCACTTCAGAACCACTCCAAGATTGTTGCATGACAAGCCTTCCGATACTGGCATATTCTGTGCTGTCAGTTCAAGTCTCCCCTCCAACCATTCCGCCCATTCAGATCTTTTAGCTAGTCCTCACAGTTTGCGTTCAAGACCATCCGAATCACTTCCATTTGGATGTTTTCTGGTTTGCCAGTGCCCCTCTGAAAGTGTTCTTTCCAGGGTGAGCATGGCACCAGGTGTTGTCTGGTCTTCTTCAGTAAAGCCAACAAGCTTTCCTGGCAACACATCACACCTTTAACTCAGGTAGAGCTTATAGTTAACTGAAATCCCCAAATCCTTTTCACCTGTGCTGCTGCTAAGCCTCCATCCCATATATGGAGAAGTGCTTTTCTGGACCTTAAATCCACCCTCTCAAATTTCACCTTGTTTGGCAGCTTTATTTCATCCTTTAAAAACCTTTTGAGGTCCACATTCTGACCAACTTTACTATCTGACCTATGAACCGCTCCTCCCAGCTGCCTGTCCTCTGTAGATCTGATTGATCGGCATCTAGAACTGCTGACAGCCTTGAAACTTGGGCCAGCGAGGCTGCCCTTTGCACTGTCACTGGTCCCTTAATCAGTGCTCTCTAGGAGTGACTGAGCACATTCCCTGACTCTGCTGTTGTGAAGTCCCATGCTCTCTCTGTGGCCCAGTGGTGCATCACAGGAGATGGGATACAATGCCCCACACATCATTGGTGCTGGAGACATGTTAGTAGGACTCAACACCCTTCATTCTTGATTAGAAGGACTTAACATACCCCTCCCCTTCACCAGCCATAGGACATAGAACGTGGGTTTCCATCCCAGCTCTTCCACCTGCTCTCTGTTTGACCTTGGTCAAGACATTGACCATCTCTTTCTGAACCAGCTAATATCTACAAACACTTGGAAAATGCATGGCTGGACCATGAACATGGGGATCTTCCATAAGAACTATACAGCCCTATAGTAAAGACAATCATTATCTTCTTTAAGAGCAGGAGTGGCAGTGAACTGTGAGCCCTATTGTTGGAAGTTCTTCAGTTGATCCTTATCGGCCAGGGTCCAACATCCAGAGTCTCTGCAAGTTGTCACTTACTCCTGAAATACCCTATAGAGTTATTGCTGCCCTAGTCAGGCAGTTCCAAGTGTGACTTGGTGCCTGTAAGAGAAGGCAGTCTTGGGGCAGCTGTCCTAGGCTCTTGTTTGACCACTATGTAATTCGGTAAAATGGTGACTGCCTTTCTCCCTCCTGGGGTTTCCAAGAAATGATGATGGAAGCAAAAAGGGTTTGGGAACAAAGGGACAGTTTAATGACCAGTTACTACCACCTCCGGGTTTTATCTTGCTATCTAGATCCTCTTTCCTGGGGTGCCCAGAGCTCAGCCCCAGTCAAGGGAGGCAGTGGGGATTCCTGTGCCTGCTCTCAGTGCCTGGTGGTCAATAGAAAGCAGTTCCCCATGGGGAAATGGATAGAACAGTGGGACCTGGGGCTTACACCCAGGTTAGAAGAAAGCTTCTGTTACTTCCCAGCTTGCAAACACTTCCTTTAGAATCAAAGAGGAAAGAGAAAATGTTTCTTAAAAAAAGAAAACATCAAAAGGCCTAATTGAAATTCATAGCAAGGTCTGAGCAGCCCAGCTCAGGCCCGAGTGCCTGCCCAGGGAAATGTGAGGCACAAATGAAGCACAGGGGAGTCGTGTTTGGCTTCAGGGGAAGCTGCTGTTGTTATGTGCCGTGGAGTCGGTTCCGACTCATAGCGACCCTGTACAGGGTTTCCGAGGCTGTAAATCTTTACAGGAGCAGAAAGCCTCATCTTTCTCCCACGGAAAGGCTGGTAGTTTTGAACTGCTGACCTTGTGGTTCGCAGCCCAATTCGTAACCACTACACTACCAGAGCTCCTTTCAGGGGAAGCTGTAGCTCACAGGAAAGGGAGCCTATCTGGAAGTCAGGATCCCTTGGCCTCTACCCTCATTCTGCTCCTGGTCAGCTGTGTGGCTTTGGGTAAGTCCCCTCCCCTCTCGGAGCCTCAGTGTTCTCATCTGACCAGAGAGGATGAAAGCATTCTGTATATTCCTGTGAAGGGATAGTCTGTGCCTATGCGTCCTGGGAGAACCACCAAGCACTACATAAAGAGAGAGGTTAGCACAGGACCGGGGTGGGACTGCCTAGGAGACCAGCAGCCAGGGCTCCAGGCTAACCTCATCCTCAGTAGAAGAGAACTTCAGGCTGCTCATAACTCTATGGGCCCCCGCTTCTGCAGCTCACAGGAACTCTGTAGTTGGGTTGATCATCTCACAACTGGCCCTTTAAGAAGGCCACAGTCTTCCCACTCTCTCCACCCACCCCTTTTAGCTACAGCCCTTTAGCAAAGGCTGGGCAGGCATTTCCTCCAGCCTTGGGCTGACTCTGCTGCCACCCACCCCCACCCTCTCTGGGCAGACTGGGTGAGTGGGTTTGCAGCTTTTTTTGGGAAAAGGCACAAGTGGCCTTTTCAAAAGCATGTTAGGCCCCGTGTGGCTCTCCTGGCTGCACCTGTGGTCCGGTGTTTGACAGCAGCATCTCAAGAGAGTGTCAACCCAAAGAAAGTCCCAGAGAGAAGAGGAAAATATATCACCTGTCCCGGGATTCCTCAAGGATGGGTATGGATAAGTAAATATTTTTTTAATAATTGGGTACGATTTGTATTTCATATTTTGGAGTAGGATTCTACATCATACCTTAGTTTCTAGAATTTTCTTTATTGCTTCGATGTCTAGTAATTAACTATCTATAAGCTCTGTGTCAGAAGAAATTGAGAGAGTGGCACATGATGTGAATTAAAGGAGAAGAGGAAGAAGATTCCAGGAGTTGGGGAGATGCTGGTAGACAGTCTAAAGCTAGTAGAAACAAGTATGCTTCATTTTACATGCAGAGCTCTGTAATGCCACGTCTTACAATAGGAGAGCACTCTATCTGGTTCTGTCATCACAGAGACTTGCCTCTGGTCTGGGGTGCTACAGTGAGGCCAGGACAGAGCCGAACAAGAACTCTGGGATTGTGGAACCTGGCCATGGCTTGAAGAGTCTCGTCAATCCAGGTCAGCCTCAGCTCCCCTGCTTCTGTTGCGTACTGCCTTCCTCCAATGGTCTAAACTAGCACTGGTAGCAGTGAGCTTGCTGTCCCAACTGGGTGCCACACCAAAAACTCACTGCCATCAACTCTATTTTGATTCATAATGGCCCAAGAGGACAAAGTAGAACTGCTCTATAGGTTTCTGAGGCTATAATTCTTTACAGGAGCAGAAAGTCTCATGTTGCTCCCAAGTATCAGCTGGTGGGTTTGAACCTTGACCTTGTGGTTGGCACTCAGCTCTGCCTCCAATTTACCACATGGACCTTTCTCACTTCACTTTTTCTCCACGCCTTTCCTCAAGTTCAACAGAAGAGTGGGCTTGTCAAGAGGCCTGGAAAGAACATGAATTGGGAATGCCCAAGCCTGGGTTCTAGTCCTTACTCCCTGTAGCTTCTCATTATGTGAAGTGAGGTGCATTGCTTAACCTCACCTAAGCCTCAGAAGGTTGAGATTATTCAGTTGCCATGGGCCCATTTGGTTTTGAAGGTTGAACACTCCAGATTCTCTGATTGCCATGGGCAGGGCTACCAGAGGGTGCCAGACTGTTATCCAGAACAAGCCCCCAACCCCACCTCCCACTGCCCCTCTTCCCTCACCTCGAAGCCAGCGTAAGAGGAAATAATCATCTGGATTCGGCAGAGTGGGCAGCACATCTTGGACATTCTCCCGAAACTGTGGGGAGAAGCAGCCAAGTGAGTGGCAGGTCCCACCCTAACCACCCTAAGCCCAGGACTTTTTGTAGGGACTTTTGCACTTCCCCAACCTGGGCTGGTGTTTATGCCCAGCTAACTGTGACAGTAAGTACTCCAGTATATGCCACAGCAAAAGTTATCATTTAAACAAGCATTTGCCAAGTGCTCAACACCAATCCTGTCACACTGTCGTATTTATTCCTCACTCAGAGTCCCTGGAGGCATGACTGTCCCCATTTTACAGATGAAAGCATTAAAGCTCAGAAAGGTTGAACAAGATGCCCAAGGTCATTAGCAGAGCTAAGCTGCAAAGCCAGGTCTGTGCGTATCCAGAACACACTCTTTCCGTTGTGGTATCATCATCTCCTGTCCCCTTCATAATGGGATGGCTGGGGAACTGAGGGAACTGATTTGGATTGATTGAAGTCAGGAACAAGGTGGACTCATGGCTTCAAATAAGTTATGTATGAGCTGGGGGGTGGGGGTGGGGGGAGAGAGGGCACTCCAGGTAGAGAGGACAACAGGAATGAAGCCATGAAGGTGGAAGAGTTCAAAGAGTGACAAAACAAGAGACAGGACAGTGACCCCAGAGATGATGCATCAATTTACACACCACTCGATACTCTGAGGCCAGTAGGCCCCACGTGTCCTCCCTCAGCCCCCAGCCACTCACTTTACTCACTTTTCCTGGTCACTGACCCCATAGTGCAGCTCTGAAAGGGACCAATGAGAAATAGCCACCTCTACCCTGTGCCTAGGTCAGCCAGGGATTCAGACCTTCCCAATAGCTTCTAGCCCCCTGGAAAACTGCTTGTCAGTAACTAGCCCTGGTTTCCAGATAAATCACCACCAAATCCACTCTCTGCCTGATCCCCCTGCAGGTGAGCAAAACCTGGAGCCTCTCGGCTCTCGGCTCCCAGTGGTGGTGGAGGGGGTGTGTGTGAACTTCCAAGGTCCTCATGAGGTAGGTGCTTGGGCCCTAATGCCCCCACCTCCACACCTTTCCAGAAGGGAAAGCTACTCAGCTTTGAAGCCTCCATCTGTGGCCCCAAGAAACACCAGCCTCCGGCTCTCCAAGTGTGACAACGAAGAGGAAGTTCAGTTTGGGAGCCTTGCCTTCAAATTGTTGTCCCCTCCTCTACTGGGGGCCCACACGCCAAGACAAAACCAGGCTCACCCCTGCCTTGAAAGCAGCAGCAGCCCCAAGTTCCCAGTAGGGAGGGGCCAGGGCTGCCTTTCAATTCACACGAACCCCAATCCCATGAGTCACGGGACTCCCAGACACGAAGCCCTCCCTTTAACATCATCTGGTCCCACCTCGTATTTTATCAGGAGCAAATAGATCCACGGTAGTCCAGGGTTCTGCCCAAGGTGGCAGGGGGATTGGGTGCTGGGGCAGAGGCTGTAAGCCGAGTGTAGGGAACTGTCCGGCCCTTCCCATCGCGCCGCGGCCCCTACGGGAGGAAAACCTCCCGGAAATGGGAGGAAACCTGGTGCCCTGCCTTTGCCCCCCAGGCCCAGCTGCCAGTCTCGAGATCAATGTTGCCTTTGTGCCCTCGGCGGCCTCCGAGGGCTTCCAAGCAACCACTTCTTCCCAGGTGGCTCCGCCAGTAGTCGCTCGCGGCTGGAACTGAGATGGCGAAACTTGCTGGGGCGGAGGAGGGGGCCCTCAGCCGGCTGGAGGAGGAAGAGCCGTCCGAGGGGCGCGGGAGGCAGGTGCGCTGGCTCCAGCGCCCTCCGCCTGAGTGCTCCGCGACCCCATCTCTTGTCTCCTCCCTGCCGCCAGAGGGCCCGGTCGGGTCCGGTGAGCACCTACCTTGCCCAGGGCCTCCTTCTGCTTGGGGCTCAGGTCGCCGACTCTGCCGCTCATCGTGGCTCCGGCTCCGGCGCGGCAGTTGCTGTAGATGATGGAGCCCGGACTCGTTCTCCGCCGCCAGAGTCAAGTGCTAGCCTTTTGCTGGGACCGTAAGGCTGTCGGCCAAGCCCCGCCTCTTAAAGGATCTGGGGGCGGGGCGGGGAGAGGCGAAGCGCGTTCGCCTCCTCTGGAGCCTGAACCCAGGCAGGCGGCCAAGGCCAACGTGGCCTGGTGGCAAGAGCAAGGAGTGTGCGTTCTAGGCCCGAATTTACCCTCAACGGTCTGTGTGCTTCTAAGTACGACACTGGAGCTCTATGGGCCTCAGTTTCTCCGTCTGAACAATGAAGAGATTGGGAGATCTGCTCCCAAAAATGTAGATCCCAAGCATGGTTGGGAACTTGCAGAGTACCTACTATGAGGGACTACATCTTTTAAGCCTAGGCATTACATTGCCTCCTGGAAACTGTGGCCCTGGCTTTCCCTCTCTGGGACTCTTGTCCTTCTATCCTGGATCAGTTTCCCAGGTTTACCATCCCAGCCAGGTGCTACAGATCACAGCTGCCCGCCTGCAGGGTGCCTTTTGTGTTGAGAGCCTTCCCGGCCACCTGTGGGCACGCAGTGGGGAGAGCAGGCCCACCTCCTCATCCTGTGTTCTATCCTCAAGCTGCTCCTAAAAGGGCGCATAAGAAGTACAACCAAAGTGCTCCTTGGAGGCCAAGATGGCTAGGCTTCGTCTCTCATACTTTGGACACATTGTCCGGAGAGAACAGTCACTGGAGAAGGATATCATGCTGGGTAAGGTGGAGGGTCAGAGAAAAAGAGGAAGACCCCCAATGAGATGGATCAGCCAGGTGGTGTCATTGATGGTGTCAAGTGTGGCGGCGGTAGTTAGGTTGGCCCAGGATCGGACATTGTTTCGTTCTGCTGTGCATGGGGTCGCTATGAGTCGGTTCCGACTCGATGGCACCTGACAACAACAACAACAACAACCCTCAGCTGGCTCAGAAGAGTGGTTCCTCTTTTGGGGAATCCCAAGACCTGGGTTTGATTCCCAAATCCTCCACTTCTTCCTATGAGGCTTCAACCTGCGACATCACCTCTCTGAACCTCAGCTGCTTCATCCCCTAAATGAAGGTGATGGTCCAGACTTTTTAGAAAACACACCACGGACATATTGATTTCAGAGACTTGCCTTGGCACAAGGTTAACACTTCCCTGTCCATTCATAGGTTCCCTGGGCTGCCATAGTGAAAGTAATACCACGATGTGCTATCAGTTTATCCACTCCCCAATAGGCCCTGGGTAAGTGCTGTGGGCTCCATTGTTGCTGCAAGTCTGACCTACAGGGTGAATGCTCCTGGCAGCTGCAACCCAGCAGCCTCTGGGCTGGCTCTGCCTCACACAATGAAGCCCTTTCCTCCTTTCGTGGTTCAGCAGCCTTCCCCCAGGGTCTGCCTGGGTCCCCATGTGCTCCATTACTTTACTCCTACCTTGATTGCAGCATTGGTCACATAGTACCTAGGGCCTTCTTTCCTCCTACTGTGTGTCAGGTCCTAGGCACTGTTCCAGGAACCCAGAAATGAATCAGACACCAGCCTGTCCTCCCAAAGATAAGACGCAAGTACCATCCTAGGATCCTAGGGTGTAAGAGTGAGGAAAACATCCCAAGGACAGGTGAATGCTAGAAGGTTTCATGGAGGAAGTGGCCGTTGAGCTGGGCTGTAGAATATGGGGTAGATGAAGGGGATAAAAGGGAGACTCGCTCATTACATGCAAGTGGAATGGCATAAACAAAGCTTTGATTGGGCTGTGTGGCCACAGCCAGAGAAGTGAGGAGAAAGGAGTATCAGGGAAGACCGGGAGGGAATTGGCATGGACCTTTTTAGTAGTAGCGGCCCTTCCGGACCATGTAGTCCTTGAGCACAGATCATGCTGTACTTAGGGACTGACTGTCCAATATGTGTGTGCTGAATGAATGAATGCCAGAGATGATCCTGGAGAGGCAGTAAGGGGAGTCCTGGAAAGGAGACGTCAACATAGACACTAGGAGATCACACTGCTCACTACATTTTACAGCTGGAGAAACAGGCTCAAAGAAGGCAAGGCCTGCCCACAGTTGTTAATGAAAAGCCTTTCTGGGTGCCCTCCCCCTGCTGCTGGGAATTAATGCCAGTGGGCCTACCACTTCCCAGAACCCAGAAGGCCACCTCAACACTCAGGTCTCCAAGAGATGGAAGAGCAGATGCCTCCAAGCTCTCTCTCACCCAGAGTTGGTAGGAGGCAGAGACAGGCTACAGCAGGCCCAGTCAAAATGCTTGGAAGGTCTCTCTGCTCCTGGTGTGGGTTTCACCATAAAAGTCCACAGTGGGAGTCATAAGTCAGAGGCTTGTGGCTGGGAGGCTCGCAATCCTTACCTCTGAAAAGAGTTCTCAGTCTAGCCTACCAATCCTGCCTTAGTTAAAGAACCATCCATCAGCTTCTGACTTGGGGCAGGGCACAGCTGCTTTGCTCGCTAGATGCACAGCCAACAACTTCATTTAAGACAGGTAAGATGATGTTCTTTTCTGGGTAGAGATTACTCAAAGGAAAACAAAAGAAGAATAACAACCCCTTATGTTGTGCAATGAATGAAGTCAATTACAGATTCACCAGATTTCTAGATCCCTTTAAATAAGGGGGCACTTCATGTGGTAGTAAATGAGGAGAGTCCCTGGGTGGGTGAGTGGTAGGGGTTAACACACTCAACCACTAACCAAAAGGCTGGAGGTTCGAGTCGGAAGAAAAGCCTGGTGATCTACTTCTGAAAATTTGACCATTAAAAACCCCAGGGAGGACACTGGACTCGGGGAGGGAGAAAGGCTATGTGCTGGCGGCCGGGGGGACAGGCCTATGTGGTGTACCCTTTGATTATTTGATGATGCATGGAGGGGATTGTATCATTGCAATGAAACAAAATACGACAGGATGAGTGTAAAGCTGATGTTCTCCCATGTAAACCTCACAATAAAAACTTAAAAAAAAAAAAAAAAAAAACCAAGGAACACAGTTCTACTGTGACACACATGGGGTCTACTCAACAGTAGCTGGTGTGTTCATTCAACACTTTACAGTTTACAAGGCACTTTCAGATCTGCCATCTCATTTAAGGCCCTGAACTTCCTGTAAGGTAAATGGGTCAGGTGATTTATTGTGCCTCTCTTATACATGAGCAGCCCAAGGCTGAAAGGAAGTCAGGTGAGAGTGAGGGCTGAGTTGGGACTTGAATCCCAGTCTCCAGCTTCTAGGTCAAATGCTTCCAGGTACCCGGACAGGGTTATCAGCTGGCCTTGAAGTCACGTGCAGAGGCTACCCAGAAAGCACAAGTATCACATAGACCAAACGGGAAAGAATCCCCAGCCCCAACCAAGTTCCCCCACTCTACCAACCAAGCTAAAACCTAAGAAAAGAACCCTTCCTCCACCTGTCCCTCCTAGCTCCCAAGGTTGCTTGCTTCTCCCTTCTCCTCTACTGGAGCTTACCACCTCCTGCCCACTGTGGAATCACTAGTTATTCTGATAATGTGAATCCTAGATATATTATCTAGCTCCCAAGGTGGTTACTAGGGAGAGAGTACCTCCTCCTCAGCCCCATCCCTTCCTTAGCCCCTGCACCCCTCCCTCACTGAGAGGTATGCTGTTCCCAGAATCTATGATGGCTCCCCACTTCCTTCATGAACCAGTTCCCAGCTTACTTGCATTCAAATCCTACCTCCATCTTGTCCTAGCATTCAAATCCTACCTGACTTGCATTCAAATCCTACCTCCATCTGTCCTAGCATTCCTTGTGACCTCCACTGCCGCTCCACCCCTCCACACACCTTCCTTTTCAACCAGAGAAGCAACACACTGTCTGTCAGACACACGTCTGCTCCTGCCCTTGCCTTGGCATCTGCCATAGTTGCTGCCCTCTCTGGTTTCCTCCTGCCAGAGCCTCCTCAGCCCTTAAAGCCCTGATCAAATGAAAAGGAGTTTCCAGAAACTGCTCCCTGATCCACCCAATCCAACGTGACCTCTGCCCACATGCAGCCCCTCTCTTGCACCCCTGACACTGTCTACTTGTCTTGGAGTGCTGGCCCAGTCAGAGCCAGTCTCTGCCCCTCACCAACACTGTGACTGGTGTGTTGTTCTGAGTGTACCTTGCCAGGGGACAGTGGTGAGTAGGAAGCATACAAAGTTCTAGCAGCTGAAAGGAGGCTGTTAGTGCACTGAGATCTAGGAGGAATGTGGATAAATGGACCTGGGAGTTAGGGCCCTGGAGTTTAGATTCTTTTGGGAGGCAGCTCTGGGCATGAGAAGGAGTCTGATCTGAGAGTCCAGAGGCCTGAGCTCTCTCTGGCCTGTTACTATTTAGCAATGAGCACTTACAACAAGCTTCCTCAGGGTCCTTGCCCTTGTCTTGGGGCCTGGGTTGCCTCCTCTCGAGAGATCAGAAGCTGCTAGGTGCCCTGCCCTCAGATTCTTCCATGCCAGCAGGTCAGGGGGTGGTGCTGAGATTGATACAGTGATTTGAGAGTCAGAGAGAATGGTCTTTTAAACTCTTCAACAAATATTTGTGGAACACTCCACTTCCATAGCAGAAGGAGCATTCTAGAAAGGCCTTGTGCTCAGCAGACGAGAATTCGTGTTGGGCAGAAAGGCCAGGACTGGAATCTCCTCCCTTCTTCAAGCCCTGCCCAGTGGGGCTCAGCTGCCAGAATGAAGACATTCCTAGTACCGGTGGCAACTGACTACAAGGTACAGTGAAGTGACAAGGACAGGATGGAGAAAGCAACCTTGTGCCTATCTTTGCCCCAAATGGTACCAGATTGGAGTTGGAGTCAGAGCTCCTTGGCCGCTTCTCTCAATCAGTACTAAGAAACCAGGTGTGGTGCTGGCGTGGGACCCTCAGTGGACAAGCCCATGAAAAACTCTCGCTGAGGGGACAGCCAAGACCCTAGGTAATTCCAGTACAGAGTACTCAGCCCCAATGGGTTGCAGAC